GAATAACAAGATTTTAGCCTCGTACAACAGCCTTTCTTCAAGAAAATAGTTTTTAGCGCTTACCGCTTGAATACGAAAAGAATCCTATAGACTTTTATTAGCAAAAAGGTCATCTACAAAAGGGTGAAATTCAAGTAATCGAGAAGAGTTGTGAAAGTCATTCTTGCTCAAGTCGTACTTTTTCTGATTCAAGTTTTTGCTTAGAAAGTCTTTTCAATGTTGTCCAGCTCGTCGATTTTCGTCTTCAGATCGTCCAGAGTCTTCTTGACGATTAGGTTAAATTTCGTATCTAGGATCGTTCCGATTAAGTCTGTAAGTCTTTGTTCATCTATGGAGAAGCACTAAGTATATTCCGAGTAAACTTAAGTTATAGAATTAAAAGCCAATTACCAGAGAGAGCAGGAGTAAATTTATAAGAAGAGCGGCGAAGACCGCCATCTTCGTTGACCGTTGGATCGAGCATAGAAAGTTATTTTATGATTTAGTTATTTTATGATTTTAGTACACGTTTCTAAGGAAAACGTTTTTTGCGAGTATATAGCCATTTTTTGATTTTTTTACAATTTAAGTTGTTTCTGAAGAACATTATTTTCAAGTGTGATTGCGTGCGTGTCGAGGACTTCAGTATCATTAATGAACTGAACGAGTCGATCTGAGGCATCGATTTTCGATGAATTCAAACAGCATGGATAAAAATTTCTTCAAAATTTACTTCGATAAAGCTCCTTTCTAGTCCAAGACAGGAATAACGTTTGTTTTAATAAAAGACGACGTTTCGACGTTTACATTATCAAGTCAATAAGAATGAGAAATTACAAACTATATATAAATCATGAATCAATGAAAGCTAATTACAAAAAGAAGATATATGTACAAGAATAAAAGATAATAACAGTGATATAATTACACGAATAAAAGGGAAAGAAAAAAGGGTAAAAATGTCATTAAACAAAAAGTTTGCATATGCTGTCAACCTAAAAAGTTTTAAAACTAATTAAAAGCCTTAATAATTAAAGGTGTCTTTATTACACGTCTCGCAGAGAATGGTAAATTATTCCACAACACTGGGGCTGCAACCATGAAAGATCGATCACCCATGTTTTTCTTAGTGCGGAACTGCGGTCTAATAGAAAGGACACCATTGTCATTGCGTAAAGCATAGCGCGAAGATGGCAAGACTGAAACCAAATCCTTGAGATAATTAGGCGCTAAACCTTGAGTAACTTTAGTTAGTAGTTCATTAGTATGCGCATGCGCAATGGCAACAAATGGAGCCATATGTTGTCCCCTGACAAATCTCGTACCCAGAGCCTGCGTTTCTTCCGGCATGCGGCGAAGAACGAGTGCTCTGGCAGAACAATAAAATACTATTCCTTGAATCATCACCAGCTTTCATTTCCGCGAGTACACATCAGTTTTACTGCAAAATTGATGGACTTACTTTGAACAATATTCAATGTTCTATTCATCAGATTTATCGTGCGGTCATGGAATGTATCTAGCTATTGTAACTCTCATCAAACGAGATCACTGCGTAACGTAGTCATAATGTCACTCAATCATCGCATGCATCTACAGTTTTCAAATCACAAAGTTTTTTACATAACAGATCTAGTGAGTGGAATGTATCTATGGCGTTCCATCCCCGCCAAAATTGATGGTTTGTATTTGAAGTTCATCACATGAATTTTGCATTCGAGTAAATTTTTTTATGTTATCATCTTGCATTTCATATGCTTCATCAAGG